CCCACATTAGCTTGCTTGCGCCTAACAGGCAGCATCGAGCTGTGTACTCCCCAGGGAGCTGAGATGGTATTTGGAATGTTTGCCCAATAATCAGGGGTAATAATAATACTGTAAGCGCTGTGATTTAGTTTACTAATAGTGTGCCAGCCAAACAAGGAAAAGTCCTCTAGAAAAAAATTTCACGGCATTTTGGGGTAATAGCTGGCATCCATGCTAGATCAATTCTTTGAACCATTACAAATAAGATGTGGGTGGATGCCATCGTCAATTTTGGATTTCAAGGTCATTTTCAAGGTCAAGTGAGGTCAAATGAGGTCAAATTTCTCATTTTTTAATTATGTAGCAAATTTTATCTAAACTGATAGATCTATCCACTAAAACTATTTTCATTATCATGTGCATATCCCTAGCTTGTTAAATACATCAATAAACTTTCATTTTAACACGCAACTATATTGCATTAGGAAACACAAAAGTGTGATTTTCTCCAAAAGTGTATATCTAAGTTGGGGTCCTTTATGGACATTTCAAATCATATGGGCCAGCAGCATACCTTCACTACAGCTGACCAGCCACTGTGTAGCAGGGGCAAGGAACTCGTATGGGCGAATCCCAAGTTCGAGAAAGTATTTTTTTCTCTTGGGAGGACTCCATGACTGCTTCAACTTCTTGAAAGCCATTGGTCAACACATGGAAAATGCTGGCCTTGATGATCTCTGGACTAAAGCAGGTGTGTATGCAGCCAGCACGACAGAGAGTCTATGCTTGATGACAAGGCCTACTACCGTGCTGTGAGAGGGCACCAACTTGTGTATGAAGCTCTGTGGCACATCAAATGGGAAACATTTGAGTCCTGGCTGGTTGAGAATGGTCACGAACATGATGTGGAAGTGAAAAAAACTAACCTGAAATGTGGCTAAGTTGTTCAACAAAGAATGATGGCAGCAAAACAGAGGAACTGTGTAATGCAGTGGAACGGCTGTCAAATTTTCTGAACAGTAAGAATGTTCAAGGCTCATCAAAGAGTTTGACAAGAAGCAGTCTAACAATGCAAACTTCACCTTGTGGTCAACATACATGGAAACGGTGGAGATCCTGCTTGACTTCATCAGGGTAGAGAAAGATGGTAACCGTACTCTTAATCTTGAAGCCTTTGCAGCAATGCTGCCATGGCTCACCATATACGACCACACAAACTATGTAAGATGGGGACCTGTCTATCTCGCAGTCATGAAACTCCTTGAGGAGACAGCACCAGATGTTTATGCCGAGTACATCGATGGTAATTTTGTTGTGAAGAGATCCCACAGGCGCTTCAACCAGGTTCCAGCGGATCAAGCAACTGAGTGGATAAACAACACTTGCAAGATGCACAACGGTATAATTGGCATAACACGGAATGATCAAGCCAGAAACAGGTTTTGCATCACATGGTCAAAACTAACGATCACGCATCACACAGGACATGAGATTTTGGATTCTAGACGCTCTGTGGTGTGATCTGAGGCAATTCTAAACACTTAAACCAATTTTTTAAAGCAAAAGATCGTAATTTAAACATAATTAAGTTCAACCTGGAAGATGATAAGAAAGTAATCACCTTCGTCCGTATAGTCTTCACTCCCAGAGAAAGCGTGATGTGGACGATGTGAAGAAGCTTGTCACAAAATCGGATTTGATATGTGTTTCAAATACACACCTCCGTCCTTGACTGAAGAAGAGGGAGACGACCCCAATGGAAAAGACATCCCTCTGGTTTCATTGACAACAAGACACAGTGCACCAAGTGACACAAGGAGTGATCTACTCACAGCTCAAGATCGAGGATAGCTGCACCTTCTCACCATTGTCAGGTTGCTGCCTGATTGAGAAAACTTTGGGGTGTAAGACGTGATTAGAAAAGATCACTCAAAAAGCTTTGCTGACCTATACAAAGCAAGCCTTTCAACCAAGCATAATCTACAGAAAACTATCAAAGCTGACAGAAAGTTACTCCAGAGACTGCTTAATGCCGTTACTGCAGGTCGGCCATAAGAAATGCTGGTCATACTGAAGCACGAAATATCCCCAATTCCTGTGTTTTTGGCAAAGGCTGGAGGTGAAATGAACTCGACACCAAAGGCAGAGCTGATCAGCATCTTGATGTCTGGACTTAACACACTCCAGAAGTTCCTCATTCTGACAAGAAGACGTGTGTGCTGGTCGATGGCCATGCACTCATCCAAGCTCTTGGAAAGCCTCAAGGATGTCAGACGTTTGGCGACTATGCTGATGTGTTTGTACAAAGTGTGGCAAATCACTTTGGACTGCACACAATGAGAGTTGATGTGGTGTTTGATCGGTACATTGGGGAAAGCTTGATAAAGGTAAAAACCTGTTCAAAGCGACTAGGCGAGAAAAAGCCAATTCCGAAGCTCATTGATGGACGCCATGTGTCACTTACATGTTTGGAGGCAATTCATTGCATTAGATGAAAACAAGGCCAATCTTGCTAAGTTTCTGTCTGAGGCCATCATGGAAAAAAGGAAAAGATTTACCATACATGCAGGTACGAGCTGGTAACAGGAGGCGGGTTCTCTGATAACAGAAACAAGGTTAACAAGAAGAGAGGACAACGAGCTGCGAGGAAACCATGAAGAAGCCTACACCAGAATAATACTCCATGTATGTGGGGCTGTCAAAGAAGGATATCAGAGACTGCTGGTTGTCTGCAGAGACACAGATGTCATGTTACTTGTACTTCTGATTCACTTCCTTTCAACCCAAGCTGAAGTATGGATGGTCGCTGGGACTGCTCAGAAGAGGAAATGCTACCCAATTAATGCCATATTTCAGAGACTTAGTTACACAACCTGTGAGGGATAATGTGCTGAGCTTTCATGCACTGACAGGCTGTGATATACAACCTCCTCCTTAAATTTACTGGCCATGGGGAAAAGTCGTGCTGGAAACCTTCTAGAACCAACCACAACTTGTCAAGAGAATTGGTCGTGATGGAGACCTTGCGCCTATCGAACAATTTGCATGTTACCTTTATGGCACTCCTGAGCTGTTAACCTGCCATGTGCAAGTTTTTGGGAAGGCTAAGAAGAGCAAAATACCAGGCAAAGATCTGGTTCCAGGAAGACAGGAACACATCGATATATCTTCTCCTATTGATACTTTAAGCTTGGAAGATGGAGTCAGGCTGCCTTAAAGCAGTTTGGACACGGTTACCTCCTATCCCAGATGCCTGTCTAGAGCTTGTTACTTGTGGTGCCAAATAAATCGAAGTTCACAGCAGCCCGATGCACATGCTTCCGAAGGAATCTGAGGTGCACTCTTGCCTGTTGGTGTGATGCCACTAAATGTAACTGCTGCAACCCAGCTGGCCAAGACGATGAACCAATACAATATTAAAACTGTATATGTACACAATCACGTAAGATATATTCCCTATTTCTTCAAGTCTTACATAATATATTATAATATATCATATATTGTAATATCTGTACAGTGAATCATCACAGTAATGACCGAAGTGCAAGGTATAATTTAAGAAAACAAGTACATAAATGTATATATATATATATATATATATTGTGTGTGTATATTTCTATATACGTTAGGTGAAAATAGTACCTTTTTTTCCTTACAATGTTATATATGGAGATGAAATATTTAATTTAACCTGTAAATTACACCTGCCTGGTATGCCTAACTGTAGGATAAAGATATTTTCTGAACAATACTTACGCTAGTAAGTTCCAAAATCTTCCAAAATACAAAAGAAATACACTTTTTACCATATTTGACCTTTGACCCTCTAAATGACCTTTGGGGTCAAAATCCAGGGTGGCATCCACCTACATTTTCTTCCCCATGCCATGACTGATTGATCTAACATGGTTGCCCGCTATTACCCCAAAATGCCGGCTAAAGTATAATATGCCGTTTTGGCTGGTCCACTATAAATGCTGAACAGTATAAAAGGCAAATTGTGTTCATACGAAATCAAGCATTTGCTTTTCCGTAATGCTTGTTCACCAAGTAAATCATTTTACTTTTTGCTTGAACTCTCTAGCATTTGCGAGGACCCATTGACTTGTGCAAAGCCACGGTAGAACGTCTAACATGTCTCTACTTGCAAATGTTATGCGCATCAGCCAATCGAAGTCGACATTAAAGACTGTGACTTCATTTCGATCGGAAATGTAGACTAAGCTGCTGATTGGTCAATTTGGATGCCATGTTTTTGTAACACAACGGTATACCGGAGACCCGATATAAAAAGCGCCCGCGGAATGGTCAGAATGTCGAGATGACGACGCAGTCTTGGGTTGGCTATTATCCTTTCAGACTGAGGACTATTGGAACTATGGGGTGTGTGCAATTTCAATGGGCACGAGGACCTGGGCACAGGTCTACGAGGACCTGGGCACAGGTCTTCGAGAGAGTTTCGTGCACAAACCTTATGGGAGCTGTCGAGAAATATTTTTTCCGCAAACCTTTCGTTCATAAATGTATCTGCACAACCCGACTGATTGGGGTCCTTTGTGAGTCGTGCTGTTAAGAAATGTCGGTTCGTGTCCAACAGTACCCTGTTACTGACCCTTATTTTATTATTAGGAGGAGGGGAGGAGGGGCCGATCTTTCGGTTGCACCGGTTGATTTTAATAGCTGTTAGTACTGTTTAAATGATGTCATTCTTTTAGTGTATACATGAGCGTTTTGAGGATTTTTGAAAAGTATTTTAAGCACGAAATATTACAGTGGTACAGCTTTCGAACTGATGATGGCACGGTGCGGTTTTTTTTACATGCACTGAGTAATATTTGAACGCAGTATGGCTTCATCGAATGAATGCATTCAATTTTTTGGAGTGGCTAATCAATTTTATCACTAAATGATCAAATTATTTATAAGCAGCAAAATTTCCATTGATCTTCTCCTGTTGGTTATTTTATATGTGTTTTGCAAAATGTAGGCTAACTCCATGCACACACATCTCGATCACGTTTCACTACATCAGTTGATGAACTGTGACATTGTGGACGATGCCGCGACCAAAACGGACAGCACCACCACCGTCACGTTTAGCGGACATAGACACGGATCATGCCCATGATGGAGTACAGCCAAGTAAGCGGCGTCGAGGGGCCAAATCGTCTACCAGATCAAGTGGTCAAGAATCGTCTCAAGGTATAGGGCAAGGTCCCAGTTTCGATACGGCCACTCCTATCATTTCTGATACCGCTAATATCGACAATACATTAATCCCATCAGTTGGCACACCTTTGGGTTACCATGTTTCTTTGTCTATTAAAGAAAAGATTTGGAATGGTATTTATGTGGATATGTCCACGCTGTATCAGGAGCCTGCGGCAACCGCTATTGCTCGGGCAGAGGATGAGGAATTTGCCATCGCAGTTGAGGGCAACAAAATGGTTGTCCGCAAATCCTCTGCCCTGCAGCGGGGAAAGATTGACACATTTGATAAGTGGGCCTCCGCTTTCAATACATTTGTGGCAATTTTTGTGCAAAAACATCCGCAGCGCGCCCCTGAGTTGTTAAAGTATTCCGAGACTGTTCGGCTTGCGGCGCGCCAGTTTCCAGGGTTCGGATGGCGTAAATACGATGAGCAGTTTCGCCTCCGCCAAGAACATAACCCCTCTCGCTCGTGGGGGGTGATTGATTCCGAACTCTGGCTGACTGTCGCGGCCGCCCAAACAGTTTCGGCCATGACCGGCGGCCCGAGTGGCTCCGGCACTTTGCAACGCTCAGGCCTTGATAGTAAAGTTCCCATGGTTTCCAAACGTTTCGGGGTTTGTTTTGCGTTCAATGGGGTGCACGGATGTCACTTCCGTGGATGTAAATATGTACACAAATGTAGTAAGTGTTCATGCACGGGCCATGGGGCTGCCGTATGCAAAATGGGGAGTTCGGCTGCCGGGCCCGGCCCTTTTTCTTGGCGTAAGGACCAAGTCCGTAAGTCCAATGATCAGGCTGGGCAACACCTTTCCAAACCTGGCCAGGCTGCTTTTTCCCGGCAAGCCAATAGAGTACCAAGTACTAAGGCCCCCTCGGGGATTTCTTTTCGTCCCTCCAACACCAATTAAGGTCTTTGTTCTAAGGAAATGGTTGGACCGTTATCCAATTCAACGTGATGCCCATCTGCTAGAGAGAGGGTTTTCACAAGGGTTTTCGCTACAATACAAAGGTCCGAGGCATAGTAGGCAGGCAGGTTGCTTACCTTCAGCAGCTGCTCACCCTGAGATAGTAAAAGAAAAACTCCAAAAAGAAATAGCCCTAGATAGAATTGCAGGCCCATTCACAACCCCACCTTTCCCAACATTGCAGTGCTCGCCCATTGGTTTGGTACCTAAACGTGAACCTAATACATTCCGGCTCATTCACCACCTTTCCTTCCCGGCAGGGCATTCAATAAACGATTTCATTGATAAACAAGATTGCACAGTAAATTATGCCTCGTTTGATGAGGCAGTGCAGTTAGTGATGACAGCAGGACAGGGAGCATGGTTGGCAAAGTCGGACATTAAATCTGCTTTCAGATTACTTCCAGTTAACCCGGCTGATTACGATCTTTTGGGTTTTACATTTGAGGGAAAGTTTTATTATGATAGATGCTTGCCAATGGGATGTTCCATTTCGTGTTCCCTTTTTGAGAAATTCAGTACATTTCTAGAGTTCAAGGTGAAGGAGATTGCAGAGAGTTTGATGGTCACTCACTATTTAGATGATTTCTTATTTGTAGGGCTGAGTGCACATTCTTGCCAGGCACTCTTGCAGGCCTTTGAGTCGGTATGCACAGTACTTGGTGTGCCCATTGCACAAGAAAAAACAGAAGGTCCCCTTCAGAAATTAACATATTTAGGCTTAGAGATTGATGCCCTGGCTAAGCAGGTCCGAGTCCCTATGACTAAAGTAAGTGCACTCAATGACCAGTTACACTCTACTTTGAGTAAGAAAAAGATCACACTAGTAGCACTGCAGTCATTAATTGGTTCGCTTAATTTTATCTGTAAAGCCATTGCGCCTGGGCGGGCATTTATGGGTCGCCTTATTGCCCTTACACGAGGGGTCACTCAGTCTCATCACAGAATCCGGCTCAATCAAGGGGCAAGACAAGACCTACTTATGTGGATCGAATTTCTGAAACATTTCAATGGGGTTTCCCCCTTTGTGGAGAATGAATGGCAATCTAACACATCCATGCAACTGTACACGGATGCAGCTGCCAGTATTGGTTTTGGTGCATGTTTTGGTTCACGGTGGGTTCAAGGTAAATGGTCAGCAGGCTTACTACAGACCAAACCCTCCATTGCATTGTTAGAATTTTACCCTATCCTGGTTGCTATTAAGTGTTGGGGCCGGACACTGGCCAATCAACGGGTGTTATTTCACTGTGATAACTTAGCTGTAGTTCATATTATTAACCAGCAAACATCTCGTTGTCCGAGAATAATGCACCTTTTGCGACTTTTTGTGTTGGAATGCTTAAACTTTAATATCCAGTTTAAAGCTGTACATGTTCCCGGCACAAACAATGACATTGCTGATGCTCTGTCCCGTTTCCAGACAGAACGGTTCCGAGCGATGCTTCCCGGGGCAGCGAGCACGATGACTCCTTTACCCATCCTCCCTCAAATCTGGTAGGCCAGGAGATGGCTCGCTTGCTGTCGGCGGCTTTCTCGCCTCACACTCATAGGGCATATGCATCGGGTTGGAGTGCCTTTTGTAGATTTAGAAAAAACATACGAACAAATTTGCCCGCTTCTGTAGCAGAAACTAGAGAGTTCATTGCTTGGTTATCCTTACAAGGTTTGGCACACGCCACTATTACCACTTACGTATCTGGGGTTGGTTATTATCATAAAATTCGGGGGTGGCCTGACCCTACTAAAGATTTCATTGTTTCTAAACTCATGCACGGCTGTCGCAGGGATCGCAACAGGGTCGATGAACGCCTGCCAATGTCTCTACCGTTGCTTGCCCAAATTATTGAGGCATTTACACATGTATGTTCCTCACATTATGAAGCTACACTCTTTAAAGCTGCAGTGACGTGTGCATTCTTTGGCTTCATGCGCTTGGGTGAATTTGCTGCCATTTCAAAGACCAAGTTACAAGAATCTCTGTTGCATATTTCTGACATTGAGTTTTGTGACCTGGCATCAACCCAGCAATCAGTGGTGATTTCTTTTCCATACAGTAAAAACAATAAAACTGGTGCTCCACAAAGGGTTAAACTAGTCACCACACAAAACTCAGCACTGTGTCCAGTAATGGCCTTGCAGGGATATATATCAATTCGCCCCTCAGGCCATGGCCCTCTTTTTTGTCATTTTGACGGGTCCCCATTGACCGCCTACCAATTTAATGCGGTCCTCAAAAAGGCATTGACTTTCTGTGGGAAAGGAGACTTGCATTATCGCCCCCATTCCTTTCGAATTGGGGCGGCAACTACTGCATATGAATTAGGTGTTCCATCAACTGACATTCAACAAATGGGACGTTGGCGGTCAGACGCAGTATTGACCTACATTCGCCCCATGCCTGTGGTCACTATCCCCCCTATTTAAAACAATTTATGGCGGCCCACTCTTTGCCTTAATCTGGTTTTCATTGTATATTTGTCTTCACAGGCCCAGTATGGATCATTGGGGATTCAATAATACGCTGGGCGGCGAGACCCCTAGAGGTTAATATACCAGTACTGTGGCATGGCAAGAGCGGCGCCGGTATCGGTGATCTCCCAAATTTATTACACGTTATGCAGGGCCCACCTCCTTCAATTATCATAGTTCATTTAGGTACCAATGACCTGGGCAATATTGATTTTTTCTCAATCCGACAGAGGTTAGTGATTTATATGCAGTGTTGTCGGGAACTGTACCCCCACGCCACATTACTTTGGTCAGAGATCTTGCCAAGGGCTTTTTATTTTGGAGCCAACCCCCAGGAGGCCATGGACAGGCAAAGGCGGTCTGTCAACAGGTGGGCTCGTTCTCGTTGCGGCCGCCTTGGTGCCTTCTCAATAAGGCACAATCAATTTAATCGGACAAGTTTCAATCTTTACAGACGTGATGGTGTCCATCTGTCTCCTGAAGGGACCCTGATTTTCAGGGCAAACCTTTGCTGTGCCATTAGGCAATCTCTGCAGCCGCAGGTGGGGTAGGGGTATAGACAATGGGTGTTTTCTTCCTTGGGCCGCGCTCTGCGCGTGTGGCATTTTTTGAAGCGGATAAAACACCCCATGGTTCATTAATGATTTTTTACTCCTGCCATTACGATTTTGTAAATAATACTTAGGTTAAACAAAGCACAGTGTGCAACATTATGTAAGTAATTTAATGAGTAGTTAGTATTTTATTGTTGCTGTCAACATGTCTTCCCCTGAGTCAGTACAACAGGGGAGGATGAACCGTTCCGTCTTCTGTAAGTTCAAACGAAGAAAGAACGGTGCATCAAAATCTTTTGTGGACTTGGCATACAATGTAATTGTACATAGAAACAATTTATCATAAGCTTTGTGGTGATATAAAGTTTACTGGCGGTTTCTTAATAGATTTTCAGTTCGGCCTATCGTAAATAGGTCATTTATTGCATTGATGATTGAGCTGTGGTGCTCCGAGTCAAATGGTGCTTGGAGCTGCCCTTGGGCCTTTGTGGGTGCCCAAAAAACGGAAGAGCTATGGTCTCCAAGTCAAATGGTGCTTGGATGAGCTATTGGTGCTCTGGGCCTTTGTGGTGCCCAAAATGTGAATATTGACAATAATAATAGTGTGCTACATGGAGGATGGGTCGGCTGCCCAGATTTCGGTACCCGACATTTTTTGAATAAAAACCTTCTGGCTGAGGCGTAGACACACAAATTTTCTGTGTTGTTTGTGATTTTTAATTTGTCTGGTTATAATCAATTTTATCACTAAATGATCAAATTATTTATAAGCAGCAAAATTTCCATTGATCTTCTCCTGTTGGTTATTTTATATGTGTTTTGCAAAATGTAGGCTAACTCCATGCACACACATCTCGATCACTGTGAATGCATTTCATACTGTACTTTCGTATGAAGAACTTTGTACATGAAACCCTATTGACAAATTTGTGACAAAAGTGAGATCCTGTAAACAGGAGAAGAGCCAATCAACAGCCACGAATTTTAACCAATTGCTGAGAAGGCTTGGAGGGGCAACCAACCAATAAGAATTCTTGTTCTGTGACACTTGGCAAGGCCTGGCTGGGCCAATGAGACGTAGGGTTGGTTCTTGACATTCTAGAAGTAGAAAGTTTAGGCGGGATGGAAAAGTTGCTGGCCAGTCACTTTTGTCTCAGCCTCTGAACAAACAACTTGGATAGCAAATTTTACTTCACATTTTTAATTCTCCGCCACCTTCCCCTCCTCCTCCATGGCATTTTTTGAAGCGGATAAAACACCCCATGGTTCATTAATGATTTTTTACTCCTGCCATTACGATTTTGTAAATAATACTTAGGTTAAACAAAGCACAGTGTGCAACATTATGTAAGTAATTTAATGAGTAGTTAGTATTTTATTGTTGCTGTCAACATGTCTTCCCCTGAGTCAGTACAACAGGGGAGGATGAACCGTTCCGTCTTCTGTAAGTTCAAACGAAGAAAGAACGGTGCATCAAAATCTTTTGTGGACTTGGCATACAATGTAATTGTACATAGAAACAATTTATCATAAGCTTTGTGGTGATATAAAGTTTACTGGCACTTTCTTAATAGATTTTCAGTTCGGCCTATCGTAAATAGGTCATTTATTGCATTGATGATTGAGCTGTGGTGCTCCGAGTCAAATGGTGCTTGGAGCTGCCCTTGGGCCTTTGTGGGTGCCCAAAAAACGGAAGAGCTATGGTCTCCGAGTCAAATGGTGCTTGGATGAGCTATTGGTGCTCTGGGCCTTTGTGGTGCCCAAAATGTGAATATTGACAATAATAATAGTGTGCTACATGGAGGATGGGTCGGCTGCCCAGATTTCGGTACCCGACATTTTTTGAATAAAAACCTTCTGGCTGAGGCGTAGACACACAAATTTTCTGTGTTGTTTGTGATTTTTAATTTGTCTGGTTATAACCAACCTTAGCTGTTGAGTGATAAATACTGATCTTGTGTTCCACTAAAGGTATTTTGCCTGAACTGTTCAATCGTTTCGCTTGGCTGCCATTTGTATGTTTGACAATGGAGCTGCACACGGAACACTATTAATTTTTTTTTCAAAGAAGGAACTGAAAAAAAAAATCAGATTGCGATTCTGTGAACACAAAGTATTGATCAGACATGTGTCGATCCAAAATGGGACGGTAGTCTTGGAATAGCCGCTTGCACGCAAGCCTGAAATTGACATGCGAGTAGATTTGGCAATTGATTATGCAAAACCGGACTGCATCAGGTTTCAGAAGACCCGATAGAAAGTGTCCGCTCAAGGGCCAGAATCGCGAGGTCAAGTACGCAATCTTGTTTTGCATAATTAATAGCTCAATCTACTCGCATATCGTACACGCATGCTGTGCAAGGGGATATTCCATAAGCCAGTTTTAAACCACACGTTTAAAACTGCCCCCTCGACCTATCATTCCAAGCTGTTCTCACTCGTGTTCCAAGGTTCGCTTGACAAAGCGTCATGTTTGAGATTCATAACCCACGCCCAGAGTTAATTTGGCTCCTTGAATTGAAACCTGAAGTATTTAAACCTGACAAAGTATTATAAAAATAATAATAATTCAAATAATCGGCATTTAAGAACGCTCTTATTATACAACAGGTAGCAAATGCGTCTCACTGTACTTAACACGGGACAAACGCCTGTGATATTCGGCTGATCTGTGTAATATTTGATGTGTCACCTGCCTTTTTTTGCCAGGCTGCGGTGACCCTGCGCGAATGCGACGTGAACTGCCACTTCTTTTGTTGATTCTCAAAACCAATCATTCCTTTGGTCCAACCGTCCGTGACTTCCAAGCCTGTTTACCGAATATTTACAGGGGTTGTAGTTACACGGGTCCAGCACCATAGCCGTTAATTTAGGCACATCTTTTTGTGTACATTTTCATTGAAACAGAATTGTAGATTCTACACTGAAATATGAATTATGAACCCAGGAGAAACATATTGATGAAATGAACTATATGCATTTCCAAAGTCCCATCATGACAAATGTTATCCGATACCTAATAAAAAGTGAACAAGTCCAAACTCGTTCGTATGTACTTCGCCTCGGCCCCATCCCACAACAAAGACAGGGTCAGGCAAAATATTATTTGTTCAATACTTTGTGTTCACAGAAGCGTAGGCTGATATAAAAGACAGCACTGGCAAGTTTTTTTTCTTTTAAAGTTCCTCTCTTTGAAAAACAAAATCTCAGCACTGCTTGACAGTGGTCTCGTGCACCGTGTGCAGCTCTATTGTCAAACGTTATGGTTTATGGAACGAGTGAACTGAGGGGACTCAAGTGCAGTGTTTGTCACTGAATAGCTGCAGTTGGATACCCTTTGCAAAAGAGATATACAGTGCAGTGAACTCGTTTGATGAAGCCATACTGCACTTTAATATTGCATAGCCTATGCATCCTGCCCCGTGTTGTCATCAGCTCAGTAACGCCAACAATTAACGTAAGCTTTCGTCAATGTAATACATTTTAACAATCCTCAAAGCGCCAAGGTATACACTTAACAATGATGTCATCTTGCAAAATAGTTATTCGGTATCGAATTACAAGCAACAGATCTGTCTTTCATAATTATTCATTAACACGAACAGTATACTGTAGTTTGACTTGTAAGTTTTAGAATGCCCAGTCTATTAAATCAGTACATTTATGTAAAGCTGACACAGTCACTCAACTTGTAATTTAAAACAGGTTACCAAGTTAAAGATGAGTTGAAGCTATATTTCTGTAGATACAAGTTTTTAAACGTCTTTCTTTAATGTAACGTGACATATGACGTGATGACGTTGTCATGATATTTTAAATATCGTCTATAACTGATGAAGTTTACAAATTGTATGCACAAATAATATATAAATTCACGAAGAGCAAATGACCCTATGCGTCTTTAAGTTGGATTATAAGAGATTGCAGGGGCGGATGAATACATTTTTGAGGGGAGGGGCGGATTTTTGAGGGGAGGGGCGGGGGGTAGCCCGTTAAATTTGTATTAGGTCCGATTGAAGAGGACAGGCAGACATATAGGTTAGTACAATAATTGTTTTAATTTCCTTTGGTGTCAGAGCAGGCCAGTGGGGGGTTCGACCCTCTTCACCCCCTCTGAACATTACCAACACGTTGTCGTAAAAGTTGGTACCTTGATCCGGTCTTAACTTTTTCTTTCAAACGGGGCTTGCGGTCGCTGCCAAAGTTACTTGAATGTGATGGGGAGTAATAAATAACCGTCTGATTTTTTTCTACATACATTGTAAACCCTCAGTGTAGTACGGTGGCTCATATTCGCCAATTTGTTGCGCAAGTCCATTATCCTTATGGCGTTATAACGCCGTACTATTGCGTTATAACGCCGTACTATTGCGTTATAACGCCGTACTATTGCGTTATAACGCCGTATTTTTTTTGCGTTATAACGCCGTATTTTATTGCGTTATATCGCCGTACTATGGCGATATATCGCTATACTACTGCGTTATATCGCCGTACTATGGCGTTATATCGCCGTAGTTTTGCGTTATATCGCCGTATTTAATTGCGTTATAACGCCGTATTTTTTGTGTTATACCATAAGGTTACTTCGAAAGCCTACGGAAGCCCATTAGCGCCACTGGAAGTATATATGTTACAGACTATTTAATTCGTTATTACGGATTATTAATTCGTTCTCACGGATTATTTAATTCGTTATTACGAAATAAATCTGGTACTCACACGCGGAGAGCACGTGATCAAAATGCACTGAGAGCTGGATAGGGTTTAATCAAAATGCAACATTTCGGGAACAAATCCCCAGATTGTCTCAAAGCATAGTATCACCGACCCTGATCATAGAATGGCCGGTCTTAAATTTCGCTAAATCAGTCGAAGGCCCATTGGCGGCATGCGGCAAATTTTAACAAGATCAAACCAACTAGCATTAGCTTGGAACTTGTAGATTGTGGAAAAAAAATTAAGAGTGATTAGATCAGACTAATTAACTAAAAAGATGCGCAAAAAGCTCAGGGGGCTTGGCCTTTACCCTCACCTTTTCTTTTTCGCTCATACCCTTGCGACACAACGGTAGAGAAAAAAAAAATAAAGAACAAGCTTGTATTGGTGCCTTGGTATTTGTGAAATATGAAATTATGAATAAAGAGCGATTTTAGGTCCGAATAACTAACTTAAGAGCGACGCAAAATGCGGAGGGGGAGGAAGCGCAATCCCCTCCATGTTCATTTTTTCTAGATCATCGCAAAGCACTTTTTAAATCCTGCCAAGTTTCTCTAACAGTTGTTCGGATGTCCTGTAGTTATTTTGACACCACGTTATGTAAATAGGGCATACTCTCGTCGCAAAATGTCCATTTACCAAAACAGGTCGTGAGGTCGGCTTAAATGTTATCTTTTCCCATCACATTGACCATGTTTAATTTACATGAGAGTGCGCATGAGATCGAGAGTGCTGACTTTTTAATGACCATGAAAACAAATCATTTTAACAGGTTGAATTGAAGCTTCACACATGTACTACAGATATTTGGGTATCTATTCAAATAATTTCAGATGTGGGAGGAGCATATCAGACCTCTGGCACCCTGGGATGGGTCGATTAACTTTGTATACAAACTTATCACTATTTATCATTGATATTCTTCAAAACGCCAGCTTTTCGTGAAGTGCAAAGGATGGATATTGCAACTATTATTACTTTACTCTCATGATTATAAATTCAGACAAGAAAGAAAAACAACTTAAGAGAAAAAAAAAGGAAAGAAAAAGAAGCGCGATGTAATATTGCTTTAAATTTAATGGGTTTGGGGGGATGACCCTGTCCCCTCTAAAAATAAATAGAAAATAAACGGTTGAGAAATATGCCTTGTCCCCCTCTTAAAAAAATCAATCCGTAGTAACGAATTAATAATCCGTAATAACGAATTAAATAATCCGTAATAACGAATTAAGTAATCCGTTATAACGAATTAATAATTCGTAATAACGAATTAAATAATCCGTAATAACGAATTAATAATCCGTAATAACGAATTAAATAATCTGTAACATATAAACTTGCAGTGGCGCTAATGGGTTTTCGTAGTGTAGCATTTCAAAATGGCGACGTCACTGTTGATTTTCGGCGTTAAGAGTACGGCGATATAACGCCATAGTACGGCGATACTAACGCCATCGTACGGCAATATAACGCAATAAAATACGGCGATATAACGCAATAAAATACGGCGTTATAACGCAATAAAATACGGCGTTATATCGCCATAGTACGGCGATATTATACAAATAACGAATGTTTGTGAGTGCGATGGTAAGAATAATTTCATGAGGTGACAGATTGAATGTTCTATTCCATGAGGCGAAGCCGAGTGGAATAGAACATTCAATCTGTCACCGAATGAAATTATTCTTTCCATCGCACGAACGTAAAACATTCGTTATTTGTTTTATACAACACCTGAATAAATTCTCGTCATTTGATTGGTAAATTATAAACTACAATTTATTTTGATTTTAAAGATGTTGAACTACCCCTTCACGAAAATGTTTGAACCCAACGCTGTAGCGCTGGCTCTTTGGAATAATACGCGCTACGCTGAACGCGCACACCGTACCAGCATGCATTTAGCACGCAAATACCGCGTCATGGAACAAGCGCAAAGTGAAACGGTATAACGCATGGGTATAACGCATGGTCGCACCGTGCATTATACCGAATAATAATATGTCACATGATCTACAATTCACCAATCAGATGACGGGGATTTATTCAGGTGTTGTATAAAACGCCATAGTACGGCGATATAACGCCATAAGAAAAAAGGACATGCGCAACAAATTGGCGAATACGAGCCACCGTAGTGAAGGGAGTTTTGCATTTTCAGATACCAACTTTTACGACAAGGCGTTAGTA